AGCCATAGATTCACATCTGTTTTACAATGGAGAATTATAAGGATTTTTTTTCCCATGCTGTAATTCTTTTTCTTATTGTCATGATGTTCTTAAAAGCATCTTTCATCAACAGCAATTCAACTGCTCAAAAGCCTTCACCACACAACATATATTAATATACAGAACACTCCTTTATAGTATTTAATTTGACATTATGAGCTGGATTTCATATATTTTTAAATAAATTCAATTTAACTATGTTTGGATGGTGAGAGAGAACATACAACACATTAAAAAAGGAATTAAAGGATCTCGCCTATCCTCTGATCTGCCAATAAGAGAATTTTTAGCATACTAGATTTCCTTTTGAACTGAACATATTAATATTTTGGGTTCTCTTTAGGATACTTTTCATATTAAGTTAAAATACCATCTTGAACTCCTTCCAAAAGCTAGTATTACACTGAATTATAATTAGAAAATTGTGTGGATAAAGCAATGCAACTGATGCATTAAAGAGTTTGCTGCAGAGAATACAGGTTCAGTGTGTTGTCACATAATTAACATTTCCCATCATTGGTAGTTGCTTTCAGTTTATGTACTGATAAAATAATAGAACTCACTGATATTAGAGATCAGTGGAAATGGAATTATAATCACTATACTAATAATCTTTTAAGTTTTGGTCCTGGAAAAAGAAATAGTTGTCAAATTGCCAAAACATTAGGCAGCTCTGTATCTTTTGCTGACACAAATATAAGAGAAACCCAAAAACTATTCAAAGATTACTTATATTTATTATATTTATAATAAAAAATTAGGCAATTTTAAAACAATCCTACTGTAATTTCTAGTATTTCAAAGTAAATGGAAGGCATTGATTTTCACAAGGCTCTTTTCTCTTTTCTTTCAAATTCTTCTTCCTACTTCTCCTGTAAAACCTGCGCCTTACATTAAAGCCAGTAGGCCTTACTGGTATTATAGCAGGTAGGTATTAGTGTGTATTACAGGGCTCCATTCTTACCTTAACACCCTTCTTCAACTAATACAAAACTCAGGTGCAAACATTTGCTCTCATGTATTCCTGGTTACCCAAGCGCTGTTGAAATTTACATTATAATTGCTTAGGAGCAAAGGTTTCTTTTTACATAAATTACACAATAACATACCTTGTATGCAACACAATCACATCATTCCATTCAATTATTTTAAGCTACAAATTAGTGATACTCGCTTTCAATAAAAATACACCTGAGTTTTTTAAAAATAACAAATTTCTTTGGGGTATGGAAATGCTTCCTGTGAAAAATGTACTTAGTAATGACTCCCATATATTCTGTCTGTGATCCTTGAGACGGTTATTCGTGAGTAAGCATTCCCAGGAAAGTGTCTGTTTAACACTGAAGATTATTTTCCAGCACAGACTTATCATCCAAACATCCTCCTATAACAACTAATCAGGATTTTGTAATACCATGGTCACACACAAGATGCTCTACTTTAGAAATCCCCAATTAAGTCTTTCCACTCCAAGCAGCATTATGAGATAGGATCCTGGGAGCCCAATCATAAATCCAGGGCTACAAGCCAATCATGATGGTACATGCCAATAGTACAAGTTCGATATTGCTGTTGTGAGGTAGAAATGTTAGTCCACCAAGTTGGCATGTATGGCTTACAAAGTGAATCTGAGGCTTCAGAATAAAAAAGGTACATTTGTTTCTGATTCTAAATTCTAATTCTCACCATCATAAAACACCAGCTTGAGATTACTTTGCCCTTGTTCAGGAAGACATAAAAAATTGGAAGTATGTATTTTATTAAGACTTATCATCTTCAAGCAAGAACTTCATGCAGAAGCCAGTTTCTGAATGCACAGCTAATGTAGATTCACTTCTGAACATGCATTCCCACCTCCCCCCATTCCATCTGCTCAAGAAGACTGCAATGATCTGTTAATTAGAAGTGTCTTTGATATGTGAAGAGATATTTACAGACTTTGGGATCAACTAGTCTAAAGAATTAGAGTTACAGAAAGATGCTGGTATCAACACCATAGGACTTTAGTAGAAAGCGCATAATTGTCACATTTCTAAATAAAGCACAATTTCTGACTTCTAGATGATCCTTTAGTCTTAAGAGTGAAGATAATGTGTGGACACAAGAACCAACAGCTTCCATACAAACTGTTGTAATTTTCACAGCACAAACATATCTCCAATTAAAATCCACCCATATAGTAGTTATTTACTTGAATATAGTAGGCAACCTTAAAAAAAAGTCCCCATTTTGGTCCCAGTTCCACTACCATGGAGGTAGACAATCTATGAGTGAATTTCTGCTTCTCCCTGCCGAGGAAAAATTTATAATATAAACCTTGCTCACAACTCATATCCACATTGTATATTTAGGGATATTCTTATTTCCAAATTACCCTCTAGATCATAATTCTCAAGAACATAAAAATTCTAAAGATCAAATCAATAAAAATACGATTTCATGACAACATAAACAAACACACATCCCATGTTAATATGAGAGTCCTGATGCAACAAATATTTAAATCCTAAACTAATGAAGCAGCTTTAGGAAACAAGGCATCAAACCATTTCAAATAAACAGTATGAAACTCATAACTATGCCAGAAAACCTGCTGGATTAAAAACTTAAAAATACCCTTATTCCTTACTGGCATGCACATTACAAGCTGCATACCAAATTTCACAATATGGAAATCAGCCCAAAACGTTTTATAATAAAATCCATTATTTCCACAAAAAAGCGTAGATCATACAGGACGATAGTAGAATAATGGCTACCCAATTACACTTTTACTATACACACACACACAGATATATATGTGTCTGTATGTGTATGTATAAATTTTCCTTCAACTTTTCATTGCTTAGAAGAGGTTTTTGCAATTTGGTTCTCGTATACCTTTCAGCAGTTCTACTTAACACTTTCATGTTCTTTAACAACCAGAATACTAATTACACCCATTTCTTGCTTTAATGCATGCAGATACAGCCATTTTTAAGTTTTGTTTTTAATATAATTTAATTGCTGAAAATTTAGCAATGTTTTTACTTTTTACAAACATGTTAGGGCTTACTGTCTTCATGCTTCTAATCTTAACTTTCATCAGCAATGGAGAACTACCATAAAATGTTACTTCTTTCAAAATTTAACTCATCATCTAGGCAAAAGAAAAAAAATGTTACTTTCAAATTATTAAAGTAGCTTTCCAACCAACATGCATAAAGAGCCACATTCTTCAAACACTAAAAATCTTCCAGCTGGAATTCACTAAGGGCCAAGTTCTTAGTTGTACTAGAACTGTTCTTTTCCACTGTTTACTAAACTTTCTTTTAAAACCAACACTTCACTCTAGTCTCCTCCTTGTGATAACTTTAGTAAATATATTTTGGACCCAAGTATAATATTAACCACATATCTAACAGGCTGTACAGTTGCTTTTGATAACTTTTCATATTTTCAGCAGAACTGAACATCTACAATTATTTTTAACAGCAATCATATCTATTCAGATATTATCATTCCATTACTTTCATTTCACATAAGGGAAGAACATGGAATCACAGGGCCAAACTATTTTGCTAAACAATGCACCTATGAACCTTGAAAATATTTAATGCAATTAGGACTCCAAAGTTATAACTAACTTTATCAATAAATCATCAGGGTATAAGCATGCATTATAATAAAATATAAAGAAATCGCAAATGAATTGTGGAGAGCTGTGAAAATATTAAACAGAGTAACCCTCCAACGTAGGAATCATTTCTAAAACTCAGATAGGCCTCAAGTTTGTCCTCCTGACCTTTTGAAGAGAAATATGAATTCTCATCATTCCATTTGAAAAACAGGCATGAGCTGCTGTCTGTATAGAGATACAGAAGTAAGGCAGTGTAAAACAGCCTCTGAATTATCTGGAATCTTTTTAACATTGTCAGTACAGTCTAATGTCCTTGCAGTGGTATTCCCCAACTATTTATAGAGATGGCAATGCACTATGTACCCTAGGACAACCATTCCAAATTTAGGAACACATTTATTTAAATCTTGCATGAAATAAGACCAGATTTCTATTTACAATTTGTGTTCCTAGTGCACTGTTCATAATGCTCTTTTCCTTTTATGAGCTCCTGTCCTTCGATACAATTTCCACATCCAGATAAAATGCATTGTAAGTTTAGTTAAACATGATAGTTTCCTTTTACTTAACTGCCTTCAGTACTGATAGTTAACTACATTTGATTTACAAAACTACAGCTAAGGATGTTTCTTTAACTTGATTACCTGACAGATTAAAATGTTTGATGTTCCTGATAAAGAATTTTAGGTGAGCTACTTTTGCTGATGGGTTGTTTTAAATCTGAATCAACATACATCATACCTGAAGTCACATAGTCAATTACACGCACCAGGCTTTGCTTTTTAAATTTAGGAAATATTTAGCAAGAAAGGGATTTTCACACTCTGAAATTGAAATATGTAGCCACTTATGCTCAGAAGTAAAGGAAGGTAGGTGCCCATCAACTTTGGAGATATTTATTGAGGGCCATTTGATATGGAGACATAACCTCATATCCAACGCAGATAGTTACTTCTAATCACTTAACAACTCTCCTGAGAAACACAGGTGACTGGTTTTTCATTGTTTCATAAATATTTTAATACTGTGATCATGTTGGATGCTTTTGGGGGAAAAAATCCAGGATTGTATAGATTTCTTGTTCCTCCGTCCCCCCCAACAGATTAGAATTAGAAATCATGTCTGGCTACTGAACTGTCCCTCACTTTTCATTTTTTATTTTGGATTTAGATAAACTAATTCTCTCTCTCCCCCCACCATGTAAGTGGACTTCCTTTCTTTGACAGTGTGAACTGGGGAACAAAAGAGTCTCTTTTGGCCAGTAGCACTATTAACATGTAGGGAGGGGATACAAGATGCCTGTAAAAGGTTAGAGGAAAATAAACAAACACTGGGCTCCTACCGAAAGGAAGTTTTCCAGGGACAATCTCCTCGTTTTGTTGGAACTGTGACTTTGTTGTCTTTTTTGGATACAATGTTTCTGCTGACTCCGGAAAATTTTCCACTTGAATGTGCAATTAAACAGCAGCAGTTCTGGAGAAAGCAAAGAAGCAGCGAAAAAGAACATTCCTTCTTTCATCTTTAAGGAGGGATAGAAAGGGGAGAAAGGCAAAAAGGAAAAACAAAACCTCAAAGCTCTAACTGCCAGCAAAATCTCCGATCCAGCCACTTTCCAAAGCTCAGCGCTAGGACGAGAAACTCAAGGGATGGGTTCATTTTA